CCCAGGCTGGATTCAAACCTGCTAGCTCAGGTGTATGTGGCTGGCGCTTTAGCCTTAGCTGCTTGAGCCTATGTAGTTTTGTTGTTGTTGTTGTTGTCATTGTTTAGCAGGCCTGGGCTGGGTTCACATTCGTTTTCCTTGGTGTATGTGGCTGGTGCCCTACCAACTGAGCCACAGGCACCAAGCCAAATTCACCTGTTTTAATTCAATGTAGGTATCCCAGAGTTGTGCAGCCAGCTTCACAATCTAATTTTAGAATATTTCCATCACCCCCAAAAGTTCCCTGTTTTCTTTGGCAGTCAATGCCTCTTCCCACCTCTAGACTCAGGCAACTGATCTGCCTTCTCTCTCTATGCTATTAGTCCTTTGATTGGAATTAACATCAGAAACCCAGTATCTTAACACTTAGCTTTCTCATTTGAGAGCATGGTATTTATTTCCATTATTAAAATTGTTCTTTTCTCTTTTTAAGTTCTGTTGTTTTCTTTACATAGGCTCAGCATGTCTCTCGTTAGGGTTAGGTACTTTAAGAGTCTCTGCTTCTGGGATTTGATGCCCAGTACTTCCTTACTCCGTCTTGATTTTGATTTTCTTTCCTGAGAATAGAGGTAACTCTGGAAGGTTGAGTTAGGTTGAGGAACAGATGCTAGAACTGAGGCCTCTTGTGTTGTTAAGAATATCCAGAGATCCTCCCCTCCAGCCCAGCCAGGCCATTCAGACAGCTCTTTCCCTGGGCAGAAGTAATCCTGTCTAAAGGTACTCAGTAAGTGGAAGCGGACTCTGAGTGCCCTCAAAGGCAGCTTTTAGATCCCTAAGCTGGGATCTTTTCTAGTAAAATGCACCATCTGCCCAAATCCTCAGAGGGACAGTGTAGCACAGGAGAGCTCTGCTGAGTACTGTGGAACCTAAGAGTGTGTCTTCTTGAGAAACCCTGTAGGTTCTGAAGGTGATCATCCCAAGATGTGGGAGCTCTCACAACAAGGTAATAACGTATTTTCTGAGAACTGTTGAATGGAGGGGGATTGAGGAGAGACATGATCCTGCCTTGAGGATTTATCTGTTGAATTGAGGGAACTACACTCACTGCAGCCAAGAAGTACAAAAAGGAGGATGTGATGCATGATAACTGCAGTGGGATTCCAAAAAGGAGTCACCTACGTGCCTCTCTGGAAGGCATTTAGGGAGAGGCTAGACTGGTTGGAGCATGTTTAGGATTTATTAATGGAAATGCCATATTAGAAAAATATTGAATATAATTTTTATTTTTTGGCATTTCAGGCAGCTGACTTTATTGACATCTTTGCCAGTAGAACAGAACACTTTCTTACATTTAGGAGACCTTCAGACACACACCTAGAAGGCCTGAGAGGGACCAGATTGGGCCCACAAAGTCAGTCTCCCAGTGCCTTTCATGTGTTTCTCAAATGAATATAATTTTTAATTACTGAAGAATGCTCATAGTATTCCTAGATAGAAAGAAATGAGATAGGTGAAAGAGAGAAGGGAAGACATTCTAGGAAGCATGAATAGCAAGAAGCAAGGTAAGCTAATAGGCTAGACAAGGAGTATAAAACCTTATCCTAATTTTAATGCCCAAGTGCACTGAATGTTTCTCTACACTTTTTCTTCCTTTTTATGTCTTGTGTTCTGTTCTTTGGTGAAACGTTAGCATCATTTTAACATTATCTAGGGTCAGAGGTCAGACAGAAAGGGGAATGAACTACATTTATTGAAATATCAGCTTTTAGTAGTGCTGGGTTAGATAATTCAGATGAACTTTACCACTAAGGACAGGGAAAGCTTGGAAAAAATGTAAAAATATCTGCTTGAAGGCACTGGAGAGCCAGTTAAGTGAAGAATTACTAAGCCAGAATTTGAGAGGAGATAGAAATTTTGTCCTGGTGGCATTTGCCAGGCCAGAAGAGGAGAAGGAGAGACAGAGAGTATTTTGGATAGCTCATGGGACAAAGGAGATGAAAATTCAAGTCCAGGATCTTAAGAATGGAAGCCCTTGTAAACACTCTGGGCTTTAGGTTGGGACTTTGAAGGTATGTGGCCCGAGAGAGTAAGGGGAAACCAGAAGAAAAATTACTCTCGTAAGTATTGATGAGCTCTGAGTCATCTGGGTGACTAAGAATATCTCAGTCTCTGAAATTAGGTTAAGGTGATTCAAGATACCCAGTGCTCCCCCAGGCATCCAGCAGAAGCAAACAAAAATCATATCTGGAAGATGACAGCATCATCCTAAGCCTCAAACTATTTTTAAAAGTATTTTAGGCCAGATGTGGTGGCTTACACCTATAATCCTAGCACTCTGGGAGGCTGAGGTGGGAGGATTACTTGAGCTCAGAGTTCAAGACCAGCTGGAGCAAGTGTGAGAATCCCTCTCTACTAAATATAAAAAGAAACTAGCCGTGCATCATGGTGTGTGCCTGTCGTCCCAGCTGCTGGAAAGGCTGAGGGTGAGGCTAAATCAAGCCCAAGAGTTTAAGGTTACTAGTGAGCTATGATGCCCTGGC